TGGGAGATCCGACCTGGTGTTCCCAAGGTCCAGCAACAGCAAAAACAACAAGAGCAATCACCACAGAAACAGAAACAGAAACATCCAAAGCAAAAGCAACCGCCGCCGCCATTGCCACCACCAGCGTCACCTTTTATAAACCAACGTTCATTGCCAACTCCACCAGGAACTCCTCGACAAAAGCTTAAACCCCCACCAGCTGGATCCTACTTCGTCCTAACACCGGAGCCCCGAAGTCACTCTTTCAGGTCGGCACCACGTGCCCGGTCTGAGCGTTGGAGGTTAGAGCAACCCGCCCGGGTCCGACCCGAATGTGTTTCACCTGGGTGCTTCCCATCACCATTGCTTATGCGTAAAGGAAGCAAGAGGAAAACCCAAAAGCCCGAACCCAACTATATTTCGGACCTTGAGACTCCGTCGCGGTGGTCGCTATCAAGCCGGAGGTCATTTTCGCCGTTCTATGGGTCACCGGCGTCATCCTTTTCATCTTTTAGGTCATCGCCCCGACCCGTGGCGGATGCCGAATGGGCCGGGTTTGGACTTTTTTGAACAAAAAAAAGTTTGTATAGCTCTTTTTTGAGTTTAATCAATTAATGATGCCTTTGATATAAAGGTTTTGCTTCTTGTTAAATATGGTTGTTTGATAGCCTAAGTTGCACCATGTCACTTAAGTTTGTTCCCATTTCTTCCTCGCACAAGATGTGATGCTAAGGAAAACGGAAGAAATCCCAAAGTTTTTATTTATAAATGTCACAATGCTTTGAAAATCTATTAAATTATTAAAAAATTTGAATTAAATTTTTATTTTTTTTTACGTTTAATTAATTTTGTTATATTGTATCAAATGAAACTTTATAATTAATAGTAAATCAACTAATACATTAATCAATTTTATGCTCACGTAATACTAGTACGAATAATAAAATATTATAACATCATATCATTAATCATATCATCATTATTAATTATGACATATTAATGATATATAATAAAAAATGAGAAGTGATATTTTAATTAATCATAGTTAATCAACCTATAAGAGCTTATTTAATCAAAAATAAAAAAA